AGTCACCTTTACTTGATAGTCTGTCCGCCCGCTAAACTGTGCCAAAGTCCAACTCTACAAAAAAAAAAAAGACCTGAATTCTAAATGCTCTACACCAAGTAAACCTAAATTGAATCTGCTATAAATTGCGTTGTTTTCCCCATTTGCTCCTCTTGTCCTTCCTCTTGTACCTCAATCTAGACTCTTCCAGAACTTTTAATGAGGTAAAAGGTATGCAAGAGCGGCCCGGCGAAACCCTCCACAAAGCACTTTTCAAAGATTAGGCCTGAGTAATAGCACAGCGTCGTCTAGCAGCTTTTGTCTTCCCCTGCAGAGGCTGAGGGAATGAGCATTGCAATGGGAGCCAGATTAGAATCGGATGTGAATTGGGCGGGAGATTGGTTTTGCGGAGGGAGAAAAGGCTGAAAATGCTGGAACGGGAGAAGTGGTAGGGGAGCGAGGGGCAGATGGAGAGCCGGGAGTGGGCAAGGTCACTGTTTAAAAAGAGAAAGTGACAGCGGAGATGGGGCAGGGTGCGGAGGCTAATTGACTGCTAGGATTACTTTAGGTATATGCAGATGTGGAGAATGGGAGAATGGGATAATAGAAGGATTTGAATGTTGATAATATTAAGATACTGAAATACGATGGATAGACGTTTTTAAAAGATTGGTAGCCTAATATAATACAGTGATGGCTTGATGTGTGAAAATCTGAACTAAACTAATAACGTGTGGAGAAATTATTGAGCTTTCAAGTCCAAATAGCTTTTTCTATTCAGGTAGCTTTTATTTATTTATTTTTTTGTATTTAGACATTTTGTTGCATGTTTAAAATGGTAAATGGTCATATTTTTATACAGCGCTTTTGCACTCAAAGCGCTTTACAACAAGGAACCACTCACCCATTCATGCACACACCGGTGTACGCAGACACTGGGGACGGGGTGGATTAAGTGTCAGGTCCAAGGACACAACAGCAGTATTCATTTGTGGTGTGAATGTGGGATCGCACTGCCAACCTGTGAGTCTGTGGATCTGACCACTCAAACAATTACGTTCATATCGAGAGCGTGGTTCGAACTGACAACCTTTAGCCTGCGTTCAGACTGCAGCCTGAAGTGACCCAAATCCATTTTTTTCACCTCTATGTGACTTGCATCTGATCTTTTAATGACACAGATCCGATTTTTTCCAATGCGACCCAGTCCACTTGGATATGTGCTCCTAAAACCAATACATATTCGATCTTTTGACATGAAACTTGTCTGTACGGTCAGGACACATTCATTCCACCTACAAGTCAGGCTTGGAATCTAGTCAATGGAGGGAAAGCGAGGTTAGCAAATTTATTAATATATGGGGGGATCGCTGTATTGGAGAGGTCTTATTGGAACCGGCTAGAGAGCAAAATACAAGGAGGCTAAAGACTCAAAGGTTGTATGGAGGATTTTTTTTTTGTTTAAAATTGTCATTGAAAGTTTAAAATACCATTACAGAGATGCAGCAGCTTTTTAATTATGATGACAGAAAAAAAAAGAATGAAAATCTATCAGTTGTGGACGTAGTGAGGACAGATAAACATCAGCCAATAGAAAACGAGGCTGCCTCATTTTCTATTGGCTGTTAGGTTGTCAATCAAACTCCCTAGTGTAACTGAGTCGTCGGCGCTCGGGGATTATGTGGTTTATGTGGCGGTTCTTAGAGGCTTTTTCAAACTGTCGCTTCCTCGCATTTCGCACAAAGTTTGTTGCAACGGCGGACGAGAATCCACGACCAGTTCGCCGCAAAAGAAAGTCCGAAGGGTCTAAAAACTGACGCGTCGGTCGCTAAAATATTTCTAGGCAGGTCACTTCAACGGTAATTCTGTACATGCACTGGATGTAAACAAACGTGATTTCTAGAGTAAAGAGGCGGGAGGAGGAGATGTTTCTACGATGGTCGCTGTATTTCACTTCCCTTAAAAAATCCTCTATACAACCTTCAAACAAACGAATCGGCCGTGGACGTGTAACCTGACCATTTTACAAAGAACTGGACCATATTTTGGGAGACAATCTCAGCGTTTAGGCGACTTCCGTAAACACTGAGCTCGCTCGCTGTGTGTGATTTTGTCATGTCCTCCAATGCACATGCGCGACACTTTTTGGGGTGTTTAAAGTTCACACTGAAGATCACATACAAATCGCATTTAATTGGAAATGTGAACGATCTCGCTAAAAAATTGGATTTCAAAAGAAAATCTGATTTGAGCATTAATCTCCGCAGTCTGAACATAGCCTAAGATTGGTGGATAAACACTCTCCCAACTGCCTTACTGTCGCTCTAGAGTGGTTTAGAGAAAGGAAATATTCAATACATCTGAAATATTCGTAGGTAATAATATTCTTAGTTTGTGCAGACAGTGGTTAACAAAAGAAATACCAGTACTAGTATTGTTGTTGTGTTCTTGAACAAGACACTTCCTGCATATGTGTGAAAGTGTGATGGTGGTTTTTGGTGATTGCATTTTGGCAGCCATGTCTCTTTAAATCCGCCCCAGGGCACCAGTGGCTACAGTCAGTTAAAGTAACAAATCAACTGACTTTACAAAATTCATTGTTATTATTATTATAAGAAAAGTTGGTGGTTAAAGCTTGCATCCAGCATATCATATTGTGCCCTTGAGCAAATCCATTTACATATCATCTGTCATCTGCAAGTGCATTTGTATGAACGTGATTAGTTGTTTAACTGCTTTAACAGACTCTTACTCGCATATTTTCCTTTTCAAAACGTTTGAAAATATGAAATATCCTGATGAAATGTGATTGAAATTTCAATACCAAGTAACAAAAGCAAGAGAGGGTGAGAAATCTGAAATTTGAATTAAAGCTGCGCTGAGACCTGCTATATTGAATTCTAAACACACCAGAATTGAATGTATTATGTGTCCTTGAGTTTTCAACATAGAGTAATTCCCATTTCTCATTTATTTTTCTACAATTCCCCATGTTTCCAAGGTTCCACATGTATTCCCATCTCCGCTATCAAGCTTCCCAATGAAATCGCCAATTACGCCCTGTGCTTTGTTTGCGCTCCGTAATCCTTCTAATAGTCCACAATCATGTTTTCCGAAGCGCTCATTCGCATCTAAGTCCTTTAATTTAGTGCAGTTATATTGATCTGGTCCATCTATTTCCACATTCACTTCCACAACCTTCCACTGTGCCTCCATAAATCCATCTGAGGTTTAATCGTATGTTGACGTTGATGGAGCAGGGGCCTATGTAAATCTACGGGAGATTTACTGTTTAGGAAAGAATTAATCAAACCGATAATCCACATATGTTAGCTTTTTATTAGAGGCTGGCTATACAACCTTACCAAACTGTTCTTGTTGTTTTAAAGGTGTATTGTGTAACATTTTTGTTAGATGGGCTCCCACCTGCTTGTCGTTTTGACGTGATTGCTTTGCGTGAGTGTTCCACAGTACTGTATTATAACTACAAGCCGGAGACAAGCAGGTAAAGCTACAGGACCTTTTCTTTAACCTATAGAATGCAAGATAAGTTTAATGCCATACTGTGGAACATTAAAGGCAAAGCTATAACATCCCCACGGAGACAGGCAGGTGGCGGATCCTATAGAAATGTTACAGTCATAGTGCGTATTTAAGTACATTTAACAGATAAGAATCATGCCAGTGACTTTGAACAACAACAAAACAATACATTTGAACTTTTCTGACATTGTACTGGTTTCCCTGGAATGCTCCAAAGTATGGCATTAAATTTATTACAATGTTGAGGGTTTTAATTACCAAAAGAAAAAAAGAAAAAAAGTGTTACAGAGAGCCTTGTCACCTACACTATCGGTCAAAAGTTTTAGAACACCCTCATTTTTTCAGTTATTTATTGCAATTCAAGTCGTGCAAGTCCAATGAAGAGCTTGAAATGGTACTAAGGTAAATACTGAACAGCCAGAGGTTAAAAAAAAACATAAAAGATAACAAAACACAAGTCCAAGCTCTGCCAAAACTACCTCAGCAAAAAAGGACAAGAGTTACGTTAGTTTTTTATTTCCTATGAGGAGGACTCAAATATACATTGAATAATAATGTGTTTAATGCAGCTTTGTGCACATTTGTTTACGTTTTACAGAAACAAAACTTAAAACCACATGGCTAATTTGCATAAACTATAAGCTCTGAAAAAAAATTGCTTGATCCTTGTGCGCTGATGCGGTCAGCTTCTGTCGGACTAAAGAACACGACTCAGTGGAACATGCGTGTTTTTTTTCTGCCACAAAGCGATGACGGCAGTATGCATTGAGTCGATGCAGAACTATACTGCGCCCTTTACTCCGCGAGGCTCCTGAATATAGTAGCCGTAATGCTCCAACAATCCATCAAGTTTGTGGCTTCATAGCTTACCAAAATCATACTAAACATTTTGACGGATTTTGGAGCGCCGTGTACCACATAAAATCGGTTCGAGGTCAGTAAGCACAACCAGAATTAATACATGAGCTGCACCGGATTAGAAGGCGCACTGTCGATTTTTGAGAAAATTTAAGGATTTTAAGTGCGTCTTATAGTTCAAAAAAATACAGCACCTTGTATCAGGGGATGGTACAGGTCAAGTTTATAATATTTAAAATACATCTTACGTACAGTTCTTTTAAATTCCCAGACACAGTATTGATCTACACCATATATTACCCTATTCCCTCCCCTGTTTCCCATTTCGCTACCCAGAATCCATCTAGTCCTTTACTGCTAGCTGCTGACGACTCTCCATTTTCAGTGTTTGGTATCAAATTATTTCCGTGCAGAGGTCTTCATCGATTATTTGCTGCACTTGGCACTTGGCGAGAGACTTTCTATAAAACTTTCATGACCTCCCCCGTTGCCTGGCTAAGCGTCTGTTTGTTTGCACTCACAATGGAACCCTATTGATCCTTGCATTTATTTTCAACTATGCTTTTCCTGTTGTCTCTCCTCCTCTCTCTCTCTCTCTCTTTCTTCCTGTCTTTTCCCAGTGGCGAACATACTATGGCGCGAGGAAGGTACGTCGCTCCTGCCATCCATTAAGCAGAGTTAATTGAATTTTTGTAATGGGGTTAGTGAACTGTGCAATGAGGGATTAAATGATTGGTTGGTGATGTGTTAGAAGTAGATAGTGTGGATTTTGTGCGGGTAATTCTGTGGCTAATTGTGTGTCGTATTGTGTTTTCCAGGTCTAGGCATTGGTAATATGTTCTATGTATTCTATGAAGATGGCATTAAGGTGATCCAGCCGGTGGCGTGCGAGATACAGAGACACATCAAGCCCAGTGAGAAGCTGCTCGCACTGGAGGTGAGTGCTGCTAATCGTGTACTCATTAATCTGGATGTGGTTTTGTTCATAATAAGAGAATACACTTAAAGGTGCATTTAGTAACTTTTTGGTTGGGGGTTCGTCACCTGCTTGTTTCTATGGATATGTAATTTTCTGCGTTACATTTATTCAATTACAGTGGTTTTAACCCTCTCAGGCTCAAATTAATTTTTTAGTATCAGGAAAAATCTGATATTTGGAGAAAATTATAATATGGGGTAGTAATATACAATTCTGACTTTTTTATCCTTTGTAAACAAAAAAGTATTTTGCACTTCTGGCAGGCCGTTTGCGTGTAGCCATTCCTGCACAGTCTGCATCGCCCATGTTTATCAGCATGGATGGAGAAAAGGCTCCTAAGTAAAAAAAGCTCATATAATATGGATGTGGAGTAAGTAGGTACTTGGAATTTAGCTGTTGCAAATCTGCAACGCCTGCCTGGAGAGGGTTAAAGCTCAAAAATACTTAAAAACAGGCACTCTGACTGTGAGCTGTGTTGCCTCTCCATAGATCTGATCTGTAACTTGGTCTGGTTTGCTCTCCATTACGATAAAATAATTTAATACCATACTGTGATGCATTTCAGACAAAGCATTAACATCTCTGTGGAATCTGACAGACCCTCCACCTAAAAAGTTACACACTGCACCTTTAATACTGTATTAGTGTGGTTAAATCAATACTGAATGAAGTGAGTCATGCCCTAATTGAGTAAAAATGTTTTGCAAACACAACACTTGAGCTCCCTGAAGCTGCCTGAATTTCATCCAGATAGAGCATGTGTGTCCAAACAATGGCCCTTACACTAATATCTCTGGCCCTCGGGCGTCTTGCAGAATTGGCCTAAATAATCAGAAGTAGCATTTTGTATTGCACATTTTGAAAATCTCTGCTCGCATAACTTATTAAATAACAAATGTGCAACCCTTTGCTCTGTGCAAGTATTAATATGTGTTCCTCTGTGAACAAAAGTTTGGACACCCCTGAACTCTAGGATCAACAATAAACCCTTCCAGCAGTCAAGTGTTTGGAAAACTGTTGAACTGTATTTTTTATTGCATATTTGTCCAACATAACTTTAGACTTAAGAAATATTTAATATGTGGTTGTTAGCATATATGGCAAAAGGAGAAATTCAAAAGTTTATTTGGTCAAATACGTTTCACAGCTCATCCCAGAATGACCAGAACTGAAGAAGCAGCTTGGATGAGTTGCGAAACATGTTTGACCAAATAAACCTTTGTCCAGTTGACAAATATAATTTTTCCTTTTGCCATGGATTCTGCATACATTAATAATCTACATAAAACATTGTGTTGAGTGGTTATCAGTTATCAAAACAGCCTTAGTTGTGAACATAATATAACAAAATGTAATGGAAATAGTAATTGTAAGAATGCAGAGAATGACAGATGTGTCCGGTTATGAGGTAATTATTGTGAATATACTTTTAGTTACCAGGCAATTTCCTTCCTATCATTATGCTAGACATGTGCTGTACTGTTATGGGCTACACAAAAATTTAATAGAGCTATCAGATCCAGTTTCTAAAATAGAATGATAAATACAAACACATTTCCACACTTCTTAATATCTGGTCATCTGTTGAACTCACAAACCCTTGTGTCCAAAGTTGTTTATGACACAAAGAGAAGCAACAGTACACAATAAAGTCATAAACGTTGTGGTAAACCTGTAAATTTTGAATTCAATTGACAACAACCTTATTTATTATTAAATATTAACCAAATATAAGACTTTATAGTGACTTAAAGGTCCTGTTGGTGTATCATCCGTGGTTATAGTTGGTCTCTTATTTATTCATGTTCAATGAGAGGATGTATGTTTTGGCTTATGTTGCTGTGATGTCTTTTCTTTGTGTTTCTCCCATCTCAAACAATACAAGATTATTTTATATCTACTGTTCATTAAACTAAGCTTCTAAAATCAGTGTTTTATTAAGCTCAATCCCTTGCTACTAACTAGTTGACATAATCTTTAGGAAAAAAGTATATTAAAACTGAAGTATTTCACTATCATTTGACAGTCACCACAGCGAGTGCAAGGGAATCCCCAAACACCAAACAGTGCCCCAGACAAAATACAGACGTAACATGTGAAAACGGTACAATTATGTGTTACTCCATCTTACATCACATTTAGTCATAATAATTGAACTTATAATTCAAAGTGTGACCATTCAGACTGTCCTTGTCCATCACTGCACTGTGCATAATCACCTTCAAAATGTCCAGTCTCTATACAACCTTTCATAAATGATAAAGTAAAACCTGTAGAATTATTTAGAATATTTTAAGCACTGTGTCCATTTTTATTATTTGACCAAGTATAAAAATGCTTATAGAATGATAAGTTGTCTTTTTATCTGCATTTTTTATCCCATCCTTACACATAACCCTAAACTACATAAGGTTAAATACTAAGCTTAAAACTTGCTACTTTATTTTTAACCTGACCATTTACTCTTCTACAAAAGGGATGCACAATTTTGGAAAAAAAATTAATCTCATTACAAATTTTGTCACTGCACTGCAATTTTGATTAAATATGTCATTGTTGATTTCACATAAGGATTCAGTGAACAGGGCACTTTATTGCATTTATATCCATTTAGAAGCATTCACATCAAAGAGACTATTGTAATACAAGAAATACACTCATTTCAAAACCCAAAAATGTGTATATATATATATATATATATATATATATATATATATATATATATATATATATATATATATATATATATATATAATATTTGCTGTTTGCAGGGTACACTCAGTTACTCAAAGAATTGCTGCCTTTGCATTTTAATATTAACAGTTCAAATTGTAATTTTGATTTGATTTTAAAACTGTACATTTGCCAATAAAAACAAAGTATTAGCATGTTTAATAAGACTCACCTTTGCCCTTTCCTTTGCTCTCCATGCTAAATCACTCCTCCTTCAGAGCATGCATTCCGCCAATTAAACTGCTGCACATCAGAACAGGTTTGAAGATCACAAAGATGCATGGATGACATACTGTATAAAACCACTTCATGTTTTGGATGAGGGAACAACCTTATAACATGGGAGAAAGCTCCAAAAAAGCAATTTAGCATAATACATCATGTTGATTTTGGACAATACATGTATAGAAACAAGATGTGGATTTAGTTCCAGTCAAAATGTGGATAATATTGAAAAAAACGAACAAAAGCACATAACTGGTTGCAGATAACCTGACTTATCATGTTTTTGGACTATAAAGCGCACTTAAAAGCCTTTAATTTTCTCAAAAATCGACAGTGCACTTTATAAACCGGTGCACCTTATGTGTTAACTGTGGTTGTGCTTATTGACTGTGAACCGATTGTATGTGCTACACAGTGCTCAAAAATCTGTCAAAATCACTGTCTTTTCATATTTTCATTAATGCAAATAAGCCATGTGGTTTAAAGTTTTGTTTCTGTAAAATGTAAACAAATGTGCGCAAAGCTGCATTGAACACATTATTACTCAATGTATATTTGAGTCCTCCAAGTAGGAAATAAAAAATCAAACTTAAATTATCCACCCACATTCACATTCATAATGCACATTCATCAAGACAGGGAGACAAAGCCGGGCGAATTACACCACGATCTGCCAATGGATCATTGATGCCTGGGCTAAGGATCAGTCTCAAGTGTCGTCCGTTTGTTTCGTTTAATGTGCCTTATAATCCAGTGCGCCTTATGTATGAAAATAGAAGAGAGAATTCAACATTATTGATATTGTGTCTTTAAGTCTGAAAAATATGGTACTTGGCAATTCATCATTTGTGACCAGGTTTAAGTGCAGTTCACAAGTTAATTTTGTGATTTCATTTATGGACGGTTTTTATATTTTCGTGTAATTAATTTCTTCACCACACAAACAAAACTGTCAACCACTAACTCTAATGATGCTCCTTCCTGTGTTTATTCATAATTAATCTGCCTTGGTCTGTTATGAACGGATCTTAACCCAGCACGACCAGTCAAACCGTCATTACAATTCCAAATGGTCTGCAAAGGGAATCTCAGATGTGAAAATAAAGCTGTTTTTTTTTTTTTTTTTTTCACTTGTGCTCAGAGACACCAGAGGAGATGAGAGCTGTGATTTTCAGCCAAATTTATCTGTGTGTGTCTGTGTGCCTATAAGCCCCTCTAAACAAACAGTGGTGAGTGGCTGCTTCTGGTCGTGGCACATCTGCTCCACTGTTCGGATTAATTAAAAATGAGCCCAAATCAGATGGCTCCTCCTGTGACTGGCAACCACGCTCAATACTGAAAAATCATATTCTCATTCTAAGTGAAGACGCCAAATGACAGAGAAATCACGTTAAAAACATATCAAAGGCCTATGATAGGTTTTCGCAGTTCTGTAATCATGACTGTTTGCCAGGATAGTACCATGTGGTGAATCTTTATCCATGATTTACAGAGGTCAAGTGGCGTTTATGCGCAAATAAATGTAACTAAAATAAAAGTTTTTTGGATGACTTTATTGATGCCGTTCCCTGGGGGATGTGTTGCTAACTGTAGGCATGCTCTGTCTGAGACTTTGTTAGATCTTTATTTTAACACCATCTGACCAGAAAGAACTGATTTGCGGCTGAGATAGAACTACATCAGGCGAGATGATTTTTACATTGAAACAAGTACCACAAGTCTCAAAGTCCAGTCTTCTCAATCTCTAATAATTACAGTTCATAACATGAATATTTCTTTGGAATATAAGTTTAAACTACTAGTACTTCTTTTACTTCTTTTACCTCTTGCTGCCTGAGCCCTGGCTGCGCTCCCTCTTGCTGAGACATATTTGGCTTGAAGGAGGAAACAAATGAGATCCTCAGTATAGCTTGAAGATGTTCATCAGTGAGTTTGGACCTGTACTTTGACTTATTAAAGTTCATGGTGGAGAAAAGCTTTTCACATATGTGTGTGCTCAA